TCTGTGAGGTAGTGGTTTGGCTTGAACACCTGTCGTCACTCACGCTGCAGGAGTGAAGAGCTAAACTCAGATTGGACCTAATCTGGTTGTGGTAAACGACTTGATCATTGACACCTGCCTATACTGTGAAGTTACCCGAGTGAAGCTACTATTAGATGAAGGGCGGCCAGCCGGCCTGTGACTCCCCCTCCCCTTTTAGCAGTCTATTGCATCTTGTTGCATCAGACTATGAAAACTATGTGTGTGCCAAATAAAAAACAGAATTTGGTTTTGGAGAAAAGCAACAATTTTGAAACATGTTCTTAAATAAAACAATGCTATTTTATACAAAAATATATAATACAAAAAAAAATCAGCCTTAGTTTGTTGTAAGGGATGCATTAAAGTACATAATAAAACATTACTATGATAAAATATATATCTAGTGTACTTTCCCTGGTGTGAATGTGATTGATTTTAGGAGCAAAACTTGACAGGATGCCAACTTTTCAGGACATCTTGCAAGCGTAGGGACTATTTGTGTTCCCACTGGTGTCATTCTTCAAGGCAAACACTTTGATTTGAAGTTAAAAGTAGAAATTTCATTAAGAGTTAAGACTGAGTCATCAGAGAGGTTGCAGTAGCTCGGTGGTCAGTGCCACTGTCTTGTTATCCTAAGGTTGCACATTCAAGCCCAGGTTGCATCAGTTGCCAAATCTTACATGTGGGTTTGCCAGCTGTGGAGACCCCTGAAGAAGGGAGCAGTTGAAAGAAACTTCGGTTGAGATGTTTAAGATAAGAGTCCAGATTTCAACAATTTGGTGTTTTTTTTATCTTTTGATTTTGCCCAATTTCTAAACTTACAAACCTGACAAGGACTGAGGCCCATTTTAAATGGTAAATATCAAATGGACTGTACTTATATAGCGCCTTTCTATCTTATCAAGATACAATCTGTGCTCTCATTTACTCATTTTAGTCCTTGAGCTTCCGATTTAGACTTTAAAGATGTTAAATCCAGACGTTTGTATTTTCAATACCATTAACCCACATTTTTCCTCCCATACAAATTGTCTCTTTCCTGTCTTCTCCTAGTCGACCGGGGCAGATGGCCACTCATCCTGGTGCTGCAGGAGGTTTCTTCCTGTTAAAACTGAGTCATTCCTTCCCACTGTCGCTCATGCTGCTCAGGAAGGGGGACTGTGTCAAAAAGAAGATTCAGTGTGATCTACTGTCTTCCTTAGACAGACCACCTTTCTTATCGTTTCATAATTTACTGTAAGGGATTGTATTGCATAATAACTGGGTTGAATTGATGATGATTAGATTTGAATCTGACATGAATGAGTTTGGTTATTTTTCCTGTAGCGTCCCAGTGGATTTGTTGTAGTTTCATTCATTGCAGTTTCATTTCTATTTGAGGGCCCCTCACACAGTGACTGCTAGTTATGGACACCCAGAAATACAATAGCTTTTGTTGAAAATGGTAACACCTTGTTTTTCCATAAACACCATTCTCTCAGCAAATGCAAGCTTGATTCTGACACACATTGAAAACAACAAAAGGGTGAGCTTCCTTCATTACTATAGTAACGACAGTGCTGTTAATATGGCAAAGTTCGTCCTATGTTAAAGATTTCTCTTCGGAAGCACCAAGTCTGTATCTTCCCAGGAAAGACAGTTGCTTATCCCAAATGATATAATTAACACAGTCAGTATGGAACCAGTGTGTGTTGACTCACAGATTTGTAGATTACCCCACAGAGAGGGGTGAAAGACAGTCCCTGTTTCTGAGGACAAAAATGTCTTTTGAGGGACCTTGGTTGGACACTACATTCCCCCACTTGTGATTTACAACAAGGGCACCTTGTTGGTGAATGACAATTAACAGCGTCCTTGCGGCTATCAAACTGTGTCTATCAAACTTTTTAACTCCTCCCCCTTTCTGCACATAGGATAATAAAATTAATCCTGCACCACAACAAACACTTTTATGTTTTTCACGTTAAAACATCTCACACATTAAATGGACTGTACTTATATAGCACCTTTCTATCTTATTTCAAGATACTCAAAGCGCTTTACAACACAATCTGTGTCCTCATTTACCCATTCATAAAGCATTCTACTAGATCTCTACAAAGCTAATTGAACAAATCATTCTAATGAGACTAATCAGTGCTTTAGATCACAGTCATACATTGATGGGACACACATCAGAGGCTATGAGGGGTTCAGTGTCTTGCCCAGGGACACTTCAACATGTGACTGCTGGTGGATTCAAACCCCCAACTCTCGCATTAGAGGACGACTGCTCTAACCACTCAGCCACAGCCGCCCCCCATTAGACACTTCACACATGTCTGCACCTGAGCTGTTTAGATTTTAATTGCTGGTATTTTTTATTTATGTTATCTGTTATTTTTTATATTCTCTGATATTTTTATATTCTGTTTTTTATATATATATATCTTGTGTGATTCCTTGTGTATATTCCTTTGTACGGAAATTCTGGCACAACAATTTCCTGCGGGATCAATAAAGTTCTATCTTATCTTATCTTAAAGAAAGAATTGGGTAAAATGGATGGCTGGATGAATGGCTGGATGGCTGGATGGCTGGATGGATGGATGGATGGATGATGGATGGATGGATGGATGGATGGATGGATGGATGGATGGATGGATGGATGGATGGATGGATGGATGGATGGATGGATGGATGGATGGCATCAAAGCCTGACGAGAGATTATCCAAGGATCACCTGTGACCCTCAGGTCATATTTTTCTTGAGTGAATCCAAAGGAATGCAGTGTCTCAATTTATTAAATATTTTATATATATATATATATTTTAAAAATAAAGCTTTTAAACATTGTCAAAGTAAAAACAAAAAAATAAAAGTAAATGACGTAATTGATGAATGAATCCATCTTTATTATAAGTTGCCTTGAAAAGTGTTTAATCACAATTAATCGCAATTAATTTTTAAACAGATTTGCGATTAATTAGTTAAATTTTATTAATCGATCAACAGCCCTACAATTTAAACATAGAAACAAACACATCTTTGTATTTGGTTTTCTGTGTGTGGGGGGGGGGGGGGGGTGAGTGAATGAGTGAGAGAGTAGTGGTTTGACCTCAGTGGTTTGATCATTGTGTGCATGTGTGTGTGTGCTGTGTCGTCTCTGGTCAGATCCTGACCCTGGATTTTATCCCACCAGATTAATTATCAGATTCCACATGCCATCTGGGATTCACTGTTCAAGATGAGCAGAATGTGCCAACGACAAAAGGCGGGGATTCTGAACAAGATATTAAAGTGCACTAAAATAGAAACGACAGTTCGACAACAGAAACGTTGTTTAACGACTGAATAGCATTGTATACATTGTATTTTATCTGAAACAGTCAGTGATGATCAGACTGTTTATCAGAGATTGCTTTAAAAAAAAAAAACAACTACACTGAAACTCATTTTTAAAAATCTGAACTATCACTTATAGCACAGTGAGCTCTTTGGCTGGAAACTTTAACAATAAATATGAGTCTTATCCAGGGATGTGAGCCAGAGCATGAACTGTGAATCAGGAAGGTGACCTTTTCTCCAAACGAATCACTGGGTGTAGCAGGAAGCTGTGGGTCCCTGTGGACTCCCAGAGCCCCGTGACTGAACAGGGATGGTCGCTAATAATATGGGAATGTGTCAGGATTTAAGCCTGAATACAATGTTTAAGATTTTATTGTGATAAACCCAAACTGAACCATATAATCAGTTAGTTGCATGGACTCATAACGAGTCCTCTGAAGGCCGGAGAAATTCCCCTGACTCTGGAGGGGGATTTCTCATCGATGTCATCACCACATGGTGAAAAACAACAGAGAGAAAATGTTCTCATCCTTTGGAATGTATGGAGCAGCTGCTGAGCTGCTGTTTTCAGGCGCTTTTTACACTCCTGGGGGGTTGGAGCTGTTAAACACTGTCACTATTTGTTTTTATTGTTATGATGATGAAATAGTCAAGGAAGCTAATGAGGGAACACACATCCCCCTCCCACAAAAAAAAATATATATTTTCAAGAAATATAATCAAAACAGCATCTGCTTATATGTTTTCCATAGCAGGTCACACATGTCAAACTCAAGAGCGAGCAACGGTTCTTGTTGCAGCTTTACTCATCGCGCGAGATAACATTTCAAATAAAATACAATCTGCACTCATCTGGGTTAGATCAAGCTGCGTCTCGTTTCGCCTAAACGAATGAAGCAGCCGAAGCTGAGAAAAGTTTGAATTCTTCTGTAATCTTTAAACTTGCAGCCACAAAATGATGTATAAAGCTAATGTGAGTCATGGCAACAGAAAATGTGTTTTTATTTGGTTTCTTTTTTACTATTACTTTAAAGCAGGTGTGTTTCTATTTTTAATGGGAGATTCTTTAAGCTGATTTGACAGAACGTAACTTATTTATTATCATCACTGACTTGTGTTTGTTCCAGATTATGATGTGGGAAAAGGCATTCATAATCCTGTTTAGGACATCAGTTGATGTGATTTTTCAATAAATAATGAATGAGTTGTATAAATGTTGGCCCCCACGTGTACCTGAGTTGGACCCCCCCAGGTCTAGGTGTTGTTTATTGGAAGCTATGTGACATGCAGGGATGCAGAAGTACCCGCCCCCTGTAGTAAAACTGGGAAACAGCGCGCGATCTGAGTGAATTCAGTGAGAAATCTTATTAAAATGGCTGCAAAACAAAGATGTGAAGCAGCATGAGGTGTGCTGACATGCTGCTGGTTGGCTCTAATGTGTGATCCTCTGCTTCACATGAACAATGGGGGGGTTTACGTCGATGCTGTTTGGCTGTTGCAGCCCAGAAGCCAATGTTCCCTCCTTTTTTCCTCTCATGCACGGGGGGCTGCAGGTTTGCACAGATTGGCACCAAAATAACTGGAAAATTCAAACCAATCCAAAAATAAATAAATAAATAAACATACAGGCTTAAGTGCGTGTGTGTGTTACCTTTATCTTGACCTGATGAGATGCTCTCCTCCTCTTTTGGATTTGCAACCTGTGTTATGATGGACGTGTTGTCCATGGAAACGAGATGTTGCGCACCGATCCGCTCCACCGTTTTCTTTAGTCCTCGGTGAACATTGCCGGAGCGCGCGACAGTCCCCGATCTGCGCACGGGCTGCCTGCACCATTAAAGCCCCTCCGTCGAGTTTCTGGACCCGTGCAGTCCCATGTCGGCTCAGAGCGGGGTTGCCAGATGTGACCGACTGACGCGCAGGAGGCAAACAAAGCAGCCCAGCTCTCGCTTTCTCTCTCTCTCTCTCTCTCTCTCTCTCTCTCTCTCTCTCTCTCTCT